CCGCCCGACCCGACACTGCCCGCCCGATAGGGCCCGCCCGCCCGACCCGACCCGACCCGCCCGTTAGGGTTCCCGCGTGTGAATTCGATCATGCACCACATTTTACGGCCCCGCCCGCCCGACCCGACCCGCCCGTCAGGGTCCGCCCGACTCGACCCGACCCGCTTGTTAGGGCCCGCCCGACCCGACCCGACCCGACGTGCGATTTCGATGGCGCCCCACCCGCCCGACCCGACCCGCCCGTTAGGGCCGGCCCGCCCGCCCGACCCGACCCGCTTGTCAGGGGCCCCCCCGCCCGGCCCGACCCGACCCCGCCCGCCCGTCAAGGTGCTCGCGTGTCAGTTCGATCATGCACATCATGCACCGCACTTGGATGTCCCGCCTGCCCGACCCGCCCCGCCCGTTAGGGCCCGCCCGCCCAGACCGATTCGCACGCCCGCGCGCCCGCTCACCCGCGCGCCCGCGCGCCCGCGCACCCGCGCAGGCGCGCGCCCGCGCGCCCGCGCGCCCGCGCACTCGCACACGCGCACGCGCGCGCGCACGCCCGCACGCCCGCGCAAACGCGCACACGCGCACGCGCGCACACGAGAACACGCGCACACGCGCACGCGCGCACGCGCGCACGCGCGCACGCGCGCACGCGCGCACGCGCGCACGCGCGCACGCGCGCACGCGCGCGCGCACGCCCGCACGCCCGCGCAAACGCGCACACGCGCACACGCGCACACGCGCACACGCGCGCACGCGCACACGCGCACGCGCGCACGCGCGCACGCGCGCACACGCGCACACGCGCACGCGCGCACGCGCGCACACGCGCACGCGCGCACACGCGCACGCGCGCACACGCGCACGCGCGCACACGCGCACGCGCGCACACGCGCACACGCGCACACGCACACGCAAACGCACACGCACACCCGCAAACGCTCACCCGCACCCACACCCACACCCACACTCACGCCCACACCCACACCCACACCCACGCCCACACCCACACCCACACCCACACCCACACACTCACACGCAAACGCACACGCACACGCACATGCACATGCACACGCATACGCACACGCACCACGCACCACGCACCACGCACCACGCACCACGCACCACGCGCCACGCACCACGCACCACGCACCACGCACCACGCACCACACGTCACGCACCACGCACCACGCACCACGCACCACGCACCGCGCACACGACCTCGCACACGCACACGCACACGCACACACACGCACACGCACACGCGCGCGCACACGCGCACGCACCGCGCACCACGCACACGCACTCGCACCACGCACCACGCACACGCACACGCACACGCGCACACGCGCGCACGCGCACACGCGCATGCGCGCACACGCGCACACGCGCGCAGGCGCGCACGCGCACACGCGCACACGCGCACACGCGCACACGCGCACACGCGCACGCGCACACGCGCACACGCGCACATGCGCCCATGCACACTCGCACACACGCGCGCACGCACACACGCACGCACGCACACACGCACACACGCACACGCACACACGCACGCACGCACACACGCGCACACACACGCGCACACGCGCACACGCGCACGCGCGCACGCGTGCACACGCGCACACGCGCGCACGCGCTCACGTGCACGCGCGCAAGAGCGCACGCGCGCAGGCGCGCACACGCGCACGCGCACGCGCGCACACGCGCACGCGCGCACACGCGCACACGCGCACACGCACACACGCGCGCACGCGCAAACTTGCACGCGCGCAGACGCACGCGCGCACGCGCGCTCGACCGCGCGCACGCACGCGCGCGCACGCGCACACGCGCACGCGCGCACGCGCTCAAGCCCGCGCGCCCGAACGCCCGCACACGCGCACACGCGCACACGCGCACGCGCGCACACGCGCACGCGCGCACACGCACGCGCGCGCACACGCGCACACGCGCACACGCGCGCATGCGCACGCGCGCACACCCGCACGCGCGCACACGCGCACACGCGCACACGCGCGAACGCACGCGCGCACACGCCCACGCGCGCACACGCGCACACGCGCACACGCGCACACGCGCACACGTGCACACGCGCACACGCGCACGCGCGCACGCGCGCACGCGCGCACGCGCGCACGCGCGCACACGCGCACACGCGCACACGCTCACGCGGCGCGCACACGCGCAGACGCGCACGCGCGCACATGCTCACACGCGCACGCGCGCACACGCGCACACGCGCACACGCGCACACGCGCACACGCGCACACGCGCACACGCGCACACGTGCACACGCGCACACGCGCACACGCGCACGCGCGCACACGCGCACACGCGCACACGCGCACACGCGCACACGCGCACACGCGCACACGCGCACACGCGCACGCGCGCACGCGCGCACACGCGCACGCGCGCACGCGCGCGCGCGCACGGCGCGCACCGCGCGCACGCGCGCACGCGCGCACGCGCGCACGCACACGCACACCACACGCACACGCACACGCACACGATAAGCAAACGCACACGCACACGCACACACACACACACACCACACACACCGCACCACACACGCACACACACCACACACACGCACATACACACACACACCCACACCCACACACGCGCACACTCACGCACTCACACGCACACACACACACACACCACACACACACTCACACACACACACACACACACACACACACGCACACAGACACACACACACGCACACACACGCGCACAAACGCACACACGCACCCACACACACGCACACGCACACGCACACACACACACACACACACTCCCGATCGGCTCAGAGGCCGTGTCCTGCTACAGGCCAGGGGCCAAAGACAAGTGGGACGACACCTCGGATTGCAGTGGATATGGCAGGCCATCAATCCTTCGATTGCGCCTGGAAAAGACAATTCAGTTGCCACTCAGACAATGCGCGAGCGCCCTCGAACTCAAATGTGCTTCTCTTTCGACGCAGGGGGCGGGGAAGAGAAGGGGGGAACGGGAGGGGAGAGGAAAGGGAAGGGAAGGGGGAGGGACACAATCAATGCTGGTGCTGCTGCCTACCTCAATCACTCCTTCGTTGCCAGGGCCGCCCTCGAGCCCTGAAGGGGCGAGGCCCTTGGTGAACCTCGCCCACCACGGCCTGCTCCCATTCGTGAGCTGCTCGAGATAGTTGCGGGGCGCTCCCAGGTGCCAGTCTATCCACGATGTTGGCCACAAGTTGGCGCCCCATGGCGCCCAGCGGATGCCTGGGGCCAGCGGCGGCCGCAGCGGGAGACCACTGTACGGAATCAGCCCCCCGTTGCCCAGCGCGCCTCGACGCTACACGACGCATCGCCACTTCACGCGTGTCGTCGTGTCTTGCCTCCGCTGCCCCCGCTGGCGCCGCGAGCGGCGGAGGGCCAGCGCCCAGCGCCAGCGACGTCCGCCACTGTGCCCGCGAGCACCTCCGTGCTCAGCAGGGCGGCGGGGCGCACCCTCCGAGCCGAGCAGCGCCAGGCGAGGGCGGCTCAGACCTGGCGCGGCGCGGCGCGACGCGACGGCTCACCCTCAGGAGGGGAAGAAACACACAGACACAATTAATCGTCGATCCCCCGGAAAATATGGGAAAATATGGGAAGTGGGCGGTGGGAGACAAAAACCCAGAAAATATAGGAACAGATAGGGAATCCTTTCATTTGTGTGTATTTATTTGTGTGTCCCAGGGCCCCTTCACACCCAGCCGAGCGAGGCGGGGCCAGGGGGCTGAGACCCGACGCGACGCGGCGCACCAGCGAGCCAGGCAGGGCAAGTCGAGGGGGCCGGCCGTGGCCCGGCGCGGCGCGGCGCACCGCCGAGTCAGGCCAGGCGAGGCGGGGCGACGCGAGGGGCGGCGGCACGACGCGGCGCGACGCACCACCGAGCCGGGCGGAACGAGGCGACGCGAAGGGCGAGGCGAGGAGGAGGAGGAGGAGGAGGAGGAGGAGGAGGAGGAGGAGGGAGAGAGGGAGAGAGGGAGAGAGGGCAGGAGAAGGCGATTGAGGAGTGAAGGGGGGAGGGACGGGCGAGGATCAGGAGGAGGTGGAGGCCGAGCACCGAGGCGGGAGGAGCGAGGAGCACGGAGGTGGAAGAGGCGGAGCAGGACACGGGAGAACGAGTGATATGGGGGACGGCCCAGCTGGACGTTCAGGGTCATAGAGGCAAGCCCTCCTCCCCTTCATTCCTCGCCAAAAAGGAAACAGGTGAGTTGGAGGAAAGGTTTCCTGAATGTTGTTGGAAGTCTTTGGGCCGCCGCACTGTTTTCGGGCTCCCGCTTCGTCCATTGCAAGCCCCCTCCGCCCATTCCTCTCGTCCCCCTCCCTCCAGTGATGGAACGCCGCCAGAAGCGAACGTTGTCGAAGGATTGAAACCTGTTTCCGAATCCCGCACCTCCACGTGCTTGAGAGGTTGGGGAGGAGGAGGAGGAGGAGGAGGAGGAGGAGGAGGAGGAGGAGGAGGAGGAGGAGGAGGAGGAGGAGGCGGAGGAGGAGGAGGAGGAGGAGGAGGAGGAGGAGGAGGAGGGAGGAGAGCCGGGCAGGTGCGAGACGACACGTAACGAGGAGGACGAGTAGGAGGAGTTCCCTTCCACCTTTCTCTAAGCCCTTGATGTGTTGATCGGCACGGCAACTTGAATATTACATGGCATTCAAGTATACGTTGTGTCTTTGGATATGGCTCAATGTGTCGTCTGAGTTGGCTTAGGCTTGGGGGTCGCTCCGGTTCTTCATTCTCTCGCAGCTGGACGCGACTTCGGGTTGGCAAAGCATCGTGTCCACTCGACCTGCAGTTTGGCGCGTGGCTTCTGTCTGCAACAGGATGCCGTGGTTCTACCCTCAGCTCAGAAAGGTCCACCGTGCTCGTGCGGCAGCATTGACGGCTCAGCTCGAAAGGCGGGGTGGCGATGTAGCGGTGGCGATGTACGTGCGCTCCTGTCGCAAGCCCGCCCTCGCCCCTGCAGCATGCCGCCGCCGCGCAAGGTGCAGGAGAGCCGGCGCGCTCTGGCCACCTCGCTCCAGACCGCCCCAGCCCAGCCGGTGCCCGGACCTCGCTGAGCGCGTGCAACCCTCAGGCAGTGCCAAGGGGGGTCACCACTGGGGGGGTCGCCAGCTTCTCCTGGAAATCGAGGTTCCAGGATGGAGAGTCGAGGGGTCGAGGATGTTCTTGGACGTTTCTTTGCGTTTTCGGGGCTCTGGGGGGCCCAGTTCCTCGAGGAAGTCTCGAGGAAGTGGCGTTTCCTCGAGGAAGTGGCGACCCCCCTAGTGGTGACCCCCCTTCGCACTGCCCCAAGCCCGGTGCCTGGCTCAGGATCACTGGGCTCTCGCCGGCACGCGTGCCTGGGCGCCGCTGTTTTGCCATCCCGTGGCGCCTGGCGGCGTGCCGCCGTCCACCGAGGCGTCTCCTTGTTGTTTTTGAGCTTCGGGCAGAGAGGGTCGGTGCCAGAGGGCGCGCCCTCACGCACGCGCAAGGGGGGGCGCCGGGCCACCGCGGGTCCCCTGGGGTGACTCAGGAGGGGAAAAAACACACAGACCCAATTAATCGTCGACTTCCCAGAAAATATGGGAAAATATGGGAAGTGGGTGGGAAGACAAAAACCTAGAAAATATAGGAAAATATGGGGAATCTTTTTATTTGTGTGTATTTATCTGTGTGTCCTGGGGCCCCTTCAGTGACATCAGCACTTTGGGCTCGGCGCGAGACCGAGCCCGTGTCGGTCTCCGGGAGCATGCTGCACTCCTCCAGCAGCAGGTGCGGTGCGCACGCCGCGGAGTCCGCTCTCAGTTTTGGGGGGTTGGCTGTGCCGCAGTCTGTACCAGCAATCGCCCTTTCTAGGGAACAGCGGCCTCGCTCTGCATGGCCAGGAAGAAGTGAGGAGGAGGGACGATGCGCAAGAGGAGAGACTAGAATGACTTTGGGATGTGTGTGTGTGTGTGCCATCTTGCAATGCACGCTCCCGTCCAGAGTACCTTCCGCGTACGTCCCCGCAACCGTTCCTTTTCACTACGGGAGACGCCTCCTTGAAAGGTGAACGCCCGAAAAGGCGTGCCGTTCGGGCGAGAGTTCCGGTTTGAAAAGGGTCCGCCCTCGTACGTTTCCAGCTGTACCGGGTGTAAATCAAGAAGTGTTCAGCGAGAGTCAAGTTTTGAAAAGGAGCCGCCATCCATGCATTCATTTTGCAAAAACGCACGTCCCAAGCGTAGAATTCGAAGCAGATCTTAAGATGTCTTAATCGAGAGCCCCACTTGGAAAGGAATGGCCTTTTACTCAAGAGGCTTACGTCATTCCGCCGACCCCCATAACAGTGAATTCGTCAGGAGTCGTTCCACCGTGCCTGGCCAGTTGGTCAGGAGCCTCGGGGATACATGCTAGCCGGCCGCTCTGCGGTTGACTGGGAGTTTCTGTACATAGAAGAAGGGGCGTGCGCTTCTCGGCGAGAGGAAGATGATCGAGATGAGAGCGAGCGTGGGGATCAGGAGGGCGAGGCTCGCGAGGGGCAGCGTCAGGAGATTGGGTCACGCGCGCGAGGATCAGGCGAGCGTGGAGCAGGAGGGTGAGGCTGTGGAGAAGGAGGGCCAGGAGAGCGAGGTTGGCGAGGATGGGGCGGGCGGGCGTGGAGCATCCCGCTGCCATGCTGCCCTTCCCAGACCCCGCCCCCAACCCCCCCCTCGCCGGCTCCCCTCTAATACGATTTCTGGCCGCAGGGGAGGGGGAGGAGGAGGAGGAGGAGGAGGAGGAGGAGGGGCAGCCAATCATCTCACACGCCTTCTCACCCCGGGCGAGCGGTGGTCGGCGGATCCTTGCTGTTTTGGCGAGCATGTAAGACAAGCGTGCGTGGAGCTGAGGCGAGAGCCACGCCAAGAAGACCACCGACCCTCCACCCGCTTAGTTGTTGGAAGCGTTGAAAGATCGTCTCCTGAGTACGCTGAGCGCGTCAGGAGGTGAGGGTCCGAAACGCCCCCCCTCGCCAGAGTGAAAGCCGGGAGGAGGGAATCCGATCCTCCCCCCTCAAACTTAGCGGGTGGTTCAGACTGGGCGCCGCGATGGCGATGGCAACGGCACCCGGCTCGGCGAACGACGACGGCGACGACGGCGACGACGACAGCGAGGACGACGGCGACGACGGCGATTTGCCGAGCGTGGCTCTTCTGCTTGATTGGTTTGGGAGGAGTGAGGACGCCTGGGCTTTCAGGGTTGGCAGGTGATTCAGCCAGACCGGCAGTACATTTTGAACCTGGAAGGAGTGATCCACTGCGCAATGACCTCTCGGGTATAGCCAGGACCCCAGGCAAGGGGACCCGGTTGGTGGTAGGGCCCTGGAGCCCCTCAATTGGCTAGAACCACTAAAACAGGTCTGCCGTAACGCGCGTTTTTTCGTGTGACGGCCATTTCGGTCAGTGGAACGGGGCGGGGGGGGGCGTCCCCCAGTACACATCACAAAACCAGGTCCCACTAAACCCATCTGTGCCAACGCCCGAATCTCGCTCGAGGCAAGCATGCTGGCAGTTTTCGAGACCCGTTATCAGACCATGGCTTCATATTCGACAAACTGTGACATTGGAAGTGCCGGATGCAAACGTCCCTCCCGAGCTGGATCCAAGAATGCGCGCAGCGGGGCTAGTGTCGGACAACTCGACAGCCGAGACGGTGCAGCCCGTGCGTTGGAGCAGCGCGCGTCGGAAACACGTCCGTGCTCACACGCCAACGGGGTGCAGACCTCTCCTGTCGGAACCTCGAGCACGGCTCAGGTTGGCTTGCCAGACGCAGCAGCTACTTTGTTCTCACTGGCAGGCGTGCATCTGCAATGCTCGCTTATGCTGAGCTGGAAGCCCGCACATTGCTCCAGTGTGCAGGGCGCGTGAGTATGGCCCGGAGGGTCTACCGCAGGCGTATCGCTGCATCGCTCCCCATCAGGCAACAGACGTAGCTGACGCTCATCGCTCGGATCCCCAGACGTGTACTCGGTTGTTTTGCAGCCTGTTGTGCTCGTATGTTCGGTTCGTGGTTTTTCAACCGTTCCAGATACGCACAACTACGCACTGATACGATTACCTCAAACAGTACGGGCTGGTGTCATCAGAGTTTAAGCGTAGGCACCAACATCCGTGTTATGAAAGAGCGGAACGTAGCAAACAAATGTACCATTGAAGCTTTCGATGGGTTCGTCAGTGATTCGTGCCCGAAGCCTGGCAAAACGACCTTTGTGATTCTTAGGCTTACGCCACACCGCCGACCCCTTTGTTTTTTGAGGGGGGGCTTCCTGGGGGTCCCTGGGGCACGTTTGGGGCGTCTTGGAGCCGAAGGTTCGAAATGTCCGTGTATCTCTGTCCGTCTTGGAGCTCTCTTGGTGGTCCTTTCGCCGTCTTGGAGCCCTCCTGGTGTCAAAAGGAGAACCTGCTGAAAATATATGTTTCGCTCTTTGTGCTTGGGGCCTTTTGGGGAAGCCTCTTGGGGGCCTCTTGGAGGCCTCTGGGGTGCCTCTTGGGGCCTCTTGGGGGCCTCTTGGGGGCGTCTGGACGCCTTTGTGGAGCCTCTTGTGGCCTCCTGGGAGCCTCTAGGGGCGGACGGCTGGAATGTTCGTTTCGTGGTCCCCCTTTCGGGCCCCTCTTGGGGCCATCTTGGAGCCCTTTTGGGGTCGTTTTGGGCGCCTCTTGTGCCGTGGTTGGGGCTTCTTGGACGCTTATGGGGCCGTCTTAGGGCAGTCTTGGAGGCATCTTGGAAGGGCTCCCGCGCTGTGAAGGCGGAAAAATCGTATGTGCTAGGAATGCATGTTTAAAGGGAATTTGAACATTTTGGCCTCTTAGAGGCCTCCTGATGAGAGGCCTCTTGGAACGTCTTGGCAGCCTCTTGGGCCGTCTTCGGCCCATGTTAGGCGTCTTGGAACGATCTTTCGGCCCATGTTAGGCGTCTTGGAACGATCTTTCGGCGTCTTGGGGCCCTCTTGGACCGTCTTGGGGGCCTCTTGGGCTGCCCCAGGAGCTGTCGTGGACCTCCAAAAGGGGCCCGGGAAGGGCCGGACCCCCCTGGTGAGCTCTGGCCGGACGGCCCCCCCCTCTCCAAATCGACCGGACCGGGCTCCGGAGGGAGGGGTTTGGGGAGGGGGAAGCATCTCACACGCCGATGATCCCCAAGGGGTCGGCGGATTTTGTCACGACTCCTGGATGTATGAACGAATGTGAGAGCGTGGTAACTCCGTTCATTCGTTGGCATTGGCTGGGTCCCTGCGCCAGGCTGCCTTCTGAATGTCCCACCACTTTCGATACCTTCCGATGCCGGATTGGAGGCTGGCGAATAGTGCGGGGGTTTCTTGGCAAATAGGTTTTGTTTCAGTTTTTTTCCGAGGAGAGAGTGAGGAGCAGGAGAAATTGGCTGAGGACTTGGAGGAGACGCTTAGGTACTATTCCCAAACATCCTTTGTTTG